TTCCCATTATAAAATGGGCAAAAGACATGAACAGACACTTCACAAAAGAAGACATTCGAGCAGCCAACAAACACATGAAGAAATGCTCAACCTCACTAATCATCAGGGAGATGCAAATCAAAACCACACTGAGATACCACCTAACTCCAGTCAGAATGGCAATTATCAACAACTCAAAAAATAACAGCTGCTGGAGAGGGTGTGGTGAAAAGGGAACACTTCTACACTGTTGGTGGGAGTGTAAACTAGTGCAACCTCTATGGAAAGCAGTGTGGCGATTCCTAAAAGCTCTAAAAATTGACCTTCCATATGACCCTGCAATCCCCCTACTGGGAATATACCCTGAAGAACACAAATCACTCTATAAAAAAGATACCTGCACACGTATGTTTATCGCAGCATTGTTCACAATAGCAAGAACCTGGAAACAACCATGCTGCCCATCAAAAGAGGACTGGATTAAAAAAATGTGGTACATATACACGATGGAATACTACACAGCCATAAAAAAGAACAAAATCATGAATTTCGCTGCAACCTGGATGGAACTAGAGTCTATAATACTGAGTGACCTCTCACAAAAACAAAAATCCGAATATCACATGTTCTCACTCATATAATGGACCTTGAACATCCAATGCAATACTATGAGAAAATGACTGATGGTACTGGGAAACTATGGGGGAGAGGGGGGATGGGATTAACAGTAGCAAATATCTGTCGGGGGATGGGAAAACACTTCTTATCTACAGGGTGCCTGAATGAAACGTCATTGTACACCTAACCCTTAACTGTACCCCACAAAACCATAATAAAAAATACTGATTAATGAAAAAAAAACAAAAAAAAACAAATGAATGAATAAACAAAATGTGGCATATAAAAAAAAAATTAAATTGTGTTTATACATTGTCAAATAGGGATATTCAAAATAGTTGAGACAGATGGTTCATACTGATTCTGTTTCCATTTGACTTGCTATGGTGATTTTATAGGTGCTGGCAGACATTTTGTCTCTGCTTGCCAAGGATCTATTCCTCAACTCCAACTAAATGATGAATTTTTTTTTTTTTAGTTGGAGTCTCACTTTGTCACCCAGACTGGAGTGCAGTGGCCGCTCCTGGCCACTGCAACCTCGACCTGCTGGGCTCCGGCAATCCTTCCGCCTTAGCCTTCCAAGTAGCTGGAACTACAGGCACGCATTATCACGCCCAGCTAATTTCTTGATTTATTGTAGAGATGAAGTCTCACCAAGTTGTCCTGGGCTCAGGCAATCCACTCACCTCAGCCTCCCAAAGCGCGGGATTACAGGCTGAGTCACCAACCCTGGCTTAAATGATGAATTTTAATATGGAAAATGGAATTCTTTTCTTCTTGTTCTCAGAGATCCTGAAGTCATTTCTCCTAGTCTCTTGGGTGATCTCCCTGGGGAGAAAGAGGCCTCAGAGTGTCCACAACTAGACTTGAAGGTATAAACTTAGATTCACAGGTAAAACTCATACAATGCTGTTCCATCATGGGGAAGTACTCTGCCTTGGTTTCTCTCAATTGTGAGTATAGGGAATGAGGTTACATTTATACAACGTTGACTCAATACAATGTTGATCAAATGCTGGGAAGCATGTTACTGATCCAAAAGCTAAAGTCTTGGCAGAGGAAACAAGGTATAGCTCAGTGGAGGAGAGACCTAGGTAGAAAGAAGCTCCATGCCTACTATCAGACATGATAAACACCATAAACAATTTAAAGCATATGTGTATGAGTCGATAAAAAATTTTACTTTCAAATATACTAGTTGGTCAGTACTCAGTAGCAACTTCCTTGGTCTATATAGACCTGATATGTTGCTTCAATTAAGGCAAAAAATAATTAAAAATACAATTTAAATCTCTGGTTAGTAACAGTAGTCTAATGATGATGATGTGAAAAGGCTAAATTTACCTCCTCTTACAAATCCATTAGTTGCTATTGCTGAAGTAGACAATCCTGTGATAGTTGTTACAACAGTAGCCATCAATATAACGAGGACTGATAAACCTTTAAAAAGAAAGAAAAGAAATTGAGAATACTTATATTCTTATTTAAACCTGCAATTATCTAGAACTGGTTGGTCTAAGTATACTAAGTATACTTATAAATTTACATTATAACTTATAAATTACTTAATTTTGATCTCATTTTAGACTAATCAAATCAAAATTATGAAAAAAACATTAAAGCAACAATCTGATATAAAGAAAAACATAGCTCAAAATGACTCTAATTGCTTGAGTTTTATGAGGCTGAAAGCTCAGAGATAGCTATTTTGCTTATTCATTATTCTTAAATCAAGCAGGATATAACTTCACTTACCTATTCCAGCTTGACCCACAATCCATGACAATCTAATGAAGAGCATCACACCCCAAATGTTTAACATACAACGTACCTAGAAAGAGAAAAGAGGCCAAGTCATAGACAAGGAAAAGCAATCAAAAATAATATAGTAGTAAACACTAAACCAGCCAAACGTAGGATAAGACACATTTGAAACTACAGAAAATATATATAGCTTTTAATCTAACCATTCTTTTAATAGTTTTTTTAAAGCTTAATATGAGTTTACATTTGAGCTAATATAAATAGAATGTAATATACAAGTATGTGCAAATAAATGTGCTCATCACAATTATCTGAAGAAGCAACAAAAGAATGGTACAAGAAATATCTTAAGAATTTAGTCTTTTTAAAAAGTAGTACATACTCCCCTTTATCAATACAAGTTTAATTTCTGCTTATTCTTTTATAACACCCTCATTTCATTAAATTTCTTCAACAAAATTAAGTATTATATAATATTTGTCAACACAAAATGCCAACTGTTCACACATTTTTTAAAATTTAAATTTATGAAGTAGTTTTATTTTTACTTTTGTTTATTATGCTCATATGTAAAATATAGTATTCTAAAATACTAAAATCTAAGAATAAGCAAACAATACTATCTGAAGTTTCATATTCACCTTACAGGTGAGGCAATAAAGTTACTACTAGAATTGTAATTGTTCTCTCTACTTCTCCCCTAAATTCCAATAAAACCCCTATTAAGTGTTTCCAAAGTCCCAATAAGAAGGCAATCTGACCTGCCTACATTAATCAGCTCCTTAGAGCCTATTCTATTCAAACACAGAAAAACAGAAGTAAATCTAAATCTTAACCACCTACACCTGTATACTAAAGTGAACTCAACACTTAGTATTTCTCCTTTACTCTGTTCTTTCTTGTTAACTTCTATACACTTATCTCTGAAAGATAATGGGTGTAGCAAAGAAAGGAGGCATATTTCAGCTCTATTCCCTAGCTCTGCTTTCTTGATTCTGATGCTTTTATCAATTAGATAGCTTCATATTTAATTTCTGAAAAGTGACAATAAATGATTCACAAGATGCCACGAAATATAACTTAACACAGTCAATATAACATTATATATAACATAATCAAGGATAATTTGCTTAAATTAACAAATATATAATATCTCTACTGAATTTAATATTCAAAAGGAAAGGCGGTACAAGTTGTTAATTTGGTCTTCCACAGCACTCAGATAAGACAGTTAAAATACAGGGGAAAAAAGTTCTCTTGAGAAAAGATGAGAATATGAGGAAGATTTTACAACCAACAGAAATGCTGTAACCCTAAAATTAAGCCTATTATACATACTAATACACCCTTGATCCAGCCAAACTTCACAACTCCTTTACTTTCCGCAGTATATGTGACCACAGCATCTCTGGTTGGAGTGGTTTCTTCCCCATTTGCAAAGCCATCCTCAAAAGGTTCCTGGTTATAAAAAGAAATGTGAATCATGCTTAATATGTAAAATTTAAAACACCCAATAAAAATAAATGTAATTAAATACACTTAACCATATTTAGGAGAATACAGTACAGATTTCCAAGAATCAAAGGTTTCTTAATATTTTACAAAAGTGCAAATCATTTTTCTGGAAATGCAAAACAGCATCTACAAGGAAATTGTAAATCTCACCATGACAGTAAACCCATCTTAATAATTCCAAATTTTACTGACACTTTGTGCGGTTTGAAGAATATAATGAATACTGCTAGCTAAGTATAAGCTAGCTAGGTCAATCAATTCAGACCTCTTCTCTCCAGTCACCAACACATCACCTAGTTGCCACACTTCACACATCTGAACTGTCAGTGTTAACAATTTAAAACTCTTCTTCATCACCAATGAATACAGTTTTCTCTTTCTTGTCCATAATAGCTGGATTCCTATGGAGTCCAAGATTCATACCTAACTCCTCCCTTTACTCACTCCTTTTATGCATTTAGTTATTCAGTACTCTTCATGCTTTCCTTTGTAATTTTTCCCAGGTTCAGACATGAACCGGTTAACACAATGCATTTCAAAACTAGTGTTTCCTTCCTAGTTAAGTTTCATGTCTGATTCTATCATTTTTAGTTTTTTGTTCTTTACTGTCTCTCTTTCTCTCTCAGTGGTTCTCAATTTTTGTTCTGTCTCAATACATCCAAGGCATATGACACATTTCTAAACCAGTAACAGAGTCTTAAAAAGGCCATGAAAAGGAAGATGACACGGGAAACAGAAGATATTCTGGATTTAGAATCTTTTCTCTGATACCATCCTAACGTTTTTTCCTCTACCCATATCTCAACAGCAGAAACCAAATTTCAGCTATATTTCAGACATTCTTTTAAATGTAAAAGAACTAAATTATTTTTCTAAAATAATTTTCAGTGCTTCACATCTTTTAGTGAATTTCAAATACACACACACATGCGCTTGAGGGGGACACCCAACCCCAAAAGAAAACGGAATTAATTTTTGGAGGCCTGGCCTCTTATAATATGCTCAGAATTTGTTCCTCCAGATCAACAGTCAACCAAAGTTTTTATCTGAAAATTCTGAGAAGGTTGGACATCACAATTTGTAGAAGAAATATCCCAAGTTGTGGCAAATGAGTGACTGGTTCTTCCACCATGACAATGCACCTGCCCACACCACGATGAGTGTTCAGCAGTTTTTCACCAAAAACAGCATGGCCCCTGTGTCCTACCCTCCCCAGTCACCCGATCTTGCCCCAAGCAACTTTTTTGTTTCCCTGGATGAAAAAAGTTCTCAAAGGGAAACATTTTGCCAATGTGGAAGAGGTTAAACAAAAAATATATATATATTTATGACCCAAATATATATATAGGATCCAAAAAAACCTTAGCTAGCAGTATTCATTGTATTACAATACATACATATATATATACTGTACTATAAGAGGGACACCTCCAGGCTGGTATACAGAACTAACCATCACCGTTAAAAAATTTCAAATTGCCCTCAAATTTGCTATACTTTTAAAGTTTTATATAGCTTTACTGAGATATAATTCAAATACCGCAAAATTCACCAACTTAAAGCACATAATTTTTAGTATATCCACAAAGTTATACTTGTATTCACAATATAAGCACAATCAATTTTAGAATATTTCATTACCCAACAAGAAACTCTCCAATTCCCTCTTCCTCCAACCAATGCAGCTGTCTCTATGAATTTGCCTATTCTGACATTTCTTATAAATAGAATCACAAATTATATAGACTTTGTATATGGTTTCTTGCACTTAGCATGATCTTTTCAAAATTCATTCATATTATAACATGTATCAGTACTTAATTCCTTTTTATTGCCAAATATTTCATTGTATGGATAGACTACATTTTCTTTAGTAATCAGTTGGATATTTAGACTGATTCTACTTTTTTAGCTATTATGAATAATACTGCTGTGAACATTTGTGTAAAGCTTTTGGGTGGGCATATATTTTCATTTATCTTTGAAATATACCTAAGAGTGGAATTGCTGGGTCACATACACTTTCTGAAGTGACTACTTCCAATCATTCTTCTCATCTCATTTTAGCAAATACACATGCCTACTGTTATTCCTCTTCTTGCTTAGAATGAACAGGTCTGTTATCATCCTTTGGTTTGCTGGTATAAATGTGGAAACCAGTAACCACTAAACTTGTTAGAAATACATGTAAGTAATAAAAAATAAATTATGACCAGGGGTCTATGTAGCTCAATCACAAGAACAACCCACTTCGGCTGTACTTACACTGTTGAATGTGTCCCAGACAGTAAAGAGTCCATGACGATCCCAAATAATAAAAAATGACTCTGAATAGGGACTGATTACTCAACTGTTCAATTATTCAAATAAAGCCAGAACAAAATAGTTTGCATGTTAATCCAATTAACTTTAAAATAGAGATAAGTTCCTTAGTTTTCACTCTAGAATACACAGTACTCTTTAGTGTTTTTATGAAAGATGACTTTAAAATATATAACCTTATTATTACAAGAAAATATAATGTCTATAATATATACAAAAAAGACATCTTTTTTCCATCTCTATTAAAATGAAACTAAAGATGTGTCTCTTTAAAATAGGCTAATTTCCAGAACTAAGTATTGATGTGGGTGTCTTTTTAGCAATGCAAAAGTATGCAGGCATCCTAACACTTTTGCTGTGGGTGTTTATCAAAATTCCATCTCAAAGTTGAAAAACTAGCAATAATATTGCTAATTTCCATTATACTATGAATAACTATGTACCAAAAACAAAGATTTTCCAGTATGTATAAAGTAGTGTTTTAAAATAAAGATGCATCTACACAAAATGAAAATTTTATCTTCCTCATTATCGCCTGACAGCTCTATTTTAAAAAGTGTTTTAGTTATCTCTAATGTACATTCAAAGGATAAAATCAAGTAATTATTTATTATTTGTAGCTCAATTACTAGATTTAAATATAATGCAATTGGGTACATAATTGTATTAGTTTTCTGAAATACCAGGAAACCAAAGTGGAATACACAGCTTTGTTTCTATAAATACATTAGTTTCAGATAAATAAGGATATTATTAGGTGTGACATTTTGTCCACAAAAAAACTGTTCAGAAACTGTATAATCAAGAAATATCTCAAATATGCAAATATGAAGTATAAGTTATGCTGATACAAAAGTCAACATCTGTCTGGGGATGGGGGGACACCCCTTAACAACAAGGGTGCCTGAACGATGCATATTTATATACCTAACCCTTAACTGTACCCCACAATTTTAAAATAAAAAGCCTGTTAAAAAAAACAACAACAAAAGTGCACAAATAAAAATTTTCAGTCTACCTGCCATTTTCACAGAAATTATGGGTCTAAAATTTTTTACTGTGTTTTCTACACTAATGAATAAAAAGCAAAAATTAGCAAATAAATGATTGTATAGATAATGTCATAGTGAAAGAAACTGGTCAAGTTAATTTGGTATTATTCTAGGAAATAATCTTTCAAAAAATAGCATTGTGATTCTGAGTCTCCCAAGCAGGGATTCAGGGTGGCAAGTGAGAAAACAACTGGAAAGATAGGAATAGACAGAGAAAAAATGAAAAACCAGATAGTTAAACTCTCAGTACCAAACAAGAAAATGATTAATTCAATTGAACATGTTGAATTTTAGGAGCAATGAGACAATTAATTAAAAAGTCTGTCCAGCAGTTAAAAAAATCATGACTGGAACTTAGAAGAAGGGCCAAGGATAAAAAGCCAGTGGGTGAAGAAGCTACAGAAACAGAATGAAAAGAAAAATTTACAAAGAGAAAACATGGGAAGGTGAACATTCTTCTGAGTGTACAGAAAATACAAGAATAGAAAGAAACTGTGGTCTCCATGGTCATTATTTATTTGCAGGAAATAAAGAAAAGGAGAATTTTTACACTATGGATGATCTCTTCTCTTCCTAGTATACTCAAATCTCCACCCCAACTTGATCATTCTTTGTCCTTTAACCATAATTAACTTTTTTTAATTGCACCCTGCCTCCAACCAAAGTTGTTAACAGACAGCACACTCTTAAATGCAAGCCAAACTGGCTTCCTCTCACCACAACACCAAACTAGTTTTATTAAGACATTCAATGACTTCTCTACCTCCAAATCCAATGTACATAAGTTCTTCAGTCTGTGTCTGTCTGGACTCCTAAAGCAGCATTTGATACAGTCAGCCCCACTCCCTTGAAATACCACACCCTCTCAGGCTCTTATACCCAGTAGTTAAATGTTAGAAGTCCCTTCAATACTTGGTCCTAGACCCATCTCCTTTTTCATGCTCTATTTTCTTTCTATGGTTTTCTCCAGAACTATGCATAGCTTTAAACACCATCTATATGTGATAAGTCCTAAGTGATGGCTTAGATTCATTTCCCGATAAGTTATCCTCTCTGAGTTTCAGCTCTGTAAGTAAATATTGATGTTACCATTTAAAAGTTTCATTATGTTTACTATTCTAATCTTTACCAAAGAGAAAAAGAAATTGGTAATGTCTATAACAATGACATTTCTCTAAATGAAAAAGAGAAAAAAATAGTTGTTTTTTTTTGGATCTTGTTTTAAATTCAATATGGTTTCAGTGAACACTGAACTGTCAAAAAAGTATACTTGACCAGAAAGATAGCAAGATTAAAATCTTTTATAATGCTTTAGAATGTAAATATATTTTAGATTTATCCTAGATGCATGTCTTAGAAAGTTACTAATTTTTTTGTTTCCAATATCCAAAAATTAATGTGTCTTTTGATTACTCAATTTATCTTTTACATATCAAAGGTTATATTTCATATTCTGCTAGACCTAAGAGAAAATACTACTTTAACACACTGACTTGGTTTAATGACATTTTTCAGTGGAAAAAAATTTATAATTATCAAGCTATTGTTTCTTCCCTAATACTAGAATTT